GTGTGTGTGTGTGTGTGTGTGTGTGTGTGTGTGTGTGTGTGTGTGTGCGCACAGTAAGCACTCTGCCCTTTACATTGATTTTCAGTTGTGCTGACAGGTTTTCAGGCATCAGGGGGTTTCCCACCTTCACACACACACACTCACACACTCACACACTCACACACTCACACACACACACACACACACACTGCAGCTCTGGAGCCTGCATCTGTTAGCCTCATCATTATTTACCCATACGCCGACATGCCTGGATTGAAATAGAGCTGTATGCATTCCTGGAATGAAAATATATGGATTTCGCAATCCGTAGAATTCGAAAATGACCACACAAAAAACCGGCGGCTTGAAGCCAGTTCCTAAATGTGACGGGCAGATAACAATGCGGCTCCAGATGCGCGCGTGTCTCCTCTCCGGGAGCAGCAGCACCTACCGTTCCGTACAGCCTCCCGCGGCTGTTCATGGCCACGAACAGCTCGCTCTTCACCCCGTACAGGCTCACCACCCCCCTCTCCACCGTGGAGATCTCGATCAGACCTGGCAACACACGGGAGGATGACGTCAGAGGGGGAAACGCGCCACAAAACCCGCCGAGCATCCCGGACCCCCCAGCAGCGTGTCGCGCGCCCTGCGCCCGTGGGTGCGGAGCCTTTGTTCTGCATCCCCTCAGCATCCAGGAGCACCCCCCCCCCCCACACACACACACACACAAAAAAACACCCACACACCCCCCCCCCCCCCCCCGCCCCCCCCCGGGGGACGCGTCAAAAATAAGTTGTGTCTAAAAGCGTCCATACATTCATGACATGGTTGAGCCTTGGGACGGAGGGGGTGAGGGGGGGCGTTCAGTGCTGATGGACACTTGTTTTTAATAGACGCGTCTTTGCCGTAGAAGAAATTCAATTCCGAGTCAGATGATAAATGCTCATGCAAATGAATGGAGGCGCGCGCGCCGCTCCGTGCACGCCGCCCCTCTCTCTCTCTCTCTTTTTCTCTCTCTCTCTCTCTCTCTCTCTTTATGTCTATTGCGTTACACCGGTGGAGGTAGAACTCACTGTACTGGTTTTCGTTATGTGCACCGCTTATCCCGCCGCCCGGGAGGACCTGGAGGTGGAACCCGATGCCCACGTTGCAGTAGAGCCGCCGGACCCTGCGGATGCCCAGCAGATAGTCCCTCTCCCAGCTCAGCTCCGGCCTCTGCCCGGACACCCCCAGCACGGAGCGCGAGAACAGGGTCTCCCATCGCTTCTCCAGAGAAGTGGCGTTGGTCCGGCCGCTGGCGGGGGGGTGCGCGGACACGACCCCCAGCAGGACGCCCACCAGCACTGCCGCCGTCAGCGTCCAGGGCCGCGTGCCGGCCCCGCTGGACATGCTGACGAGGAGCCTCTGCGCCACGGCCATCCGGTTTACCTTCGGCCCACGTGGTCGAAATTAACGACCCTAAAAATACCGCTGCTCTTGTTTTGCTTCCTCCGGCATGCCGGCTGAGGGTTATTTGTGGGGCGCGGGTCGGGGCTCCGGGCGTGGGGCGCGCGCCCCGGCGCGGAGGAGGAGCGGGAGGTGATGGTGGTGATGGTGCTGGTGCTGGTGATTACCATGTTTCGCAGCTCCTCCGCGCCCCTCTCTCTCTCTCTCACACACACACGCGCACGCTCCCCCCCCCCTCTCTCTCTCTCTCCTCCTTTGACAGTCTCTCTCGGTAAGAGTTCAAAATAGGTCCTCCGGGCTGCCACTCACCAGAAGCCCCGGTCCAGCCTCCCCGGGGCTATCGCATCCCTGTGACATCATGGGGAGCGGAGGGGAGCCGGAAACAGCGGCTCATGGACGCGCTGCCGGGGGCTCCTGGTGACGTCCAGCAGCCCGGGCCGCGGTGGGGGGGGGGGCACTGGGGCTGCTCCCAAATTGGTCCGCCGGTCATATGTCTGTCAGGACGCTTCCTTATTTAGAAAGTAGGAGTCACAGCAGGCCCACTGGTCACCGGAGAGCAATGACAGGGCTCCCGTGGCCCCGCGGCTCCTCACGGGCCGCTCAGGAACTTTTCCCAGCAATTCTGCTGTTTCTGCACCTGAGCTCACGTGTCACTGGGCACCAGACGCAGCGGGGCGCGCGCGCAAATCGTCCGCACAGAGCAGGGGTCAGGCCCCCTGTGCCAGCCGGTGGGGGCCCCCCCTGACGCGCGTCCTTGGGCGACACCCCCCACACCCGAGGCCCCCAGCGATGTTTCAATCATGACACATTTAGAAATGC